ATGCTCCCCCCTCTCTGCTGTCTGTGGGTCTGTCTGTCTCTGCCTCTCTCTCAGAGGACTCGAGTTTCTCAGTGTAAGGTTAGGACAGCAGAGCTGTGGAAATCAATTCCTGAGCCCTGGCGCGCTGCCCTGGGCACAGAGAGCCCAGCTCTGCTGGGAAAACCTGGATGGGGAGAGGGAGCTGAGGAGAGCTGGAAATGGGGGTCTGGGGAAGGGGAGCTGCATCAGCCCTTGTAGGGAATATCCCAAAATAAGAGAGGTGTGTCACCCTGTTCTTCTAAACTTTCTGATGTTTACATTCTTGTAATAAACTTTCTCATACATTTTAATGTAAATAATTATTGTTTTACGTTCTTCTCTAGAAGAAGAAAAGTTTAATAAACTGTTGGTTTGTCCAGTATTATTAAAGAAGTAGCACTTTCATCCTCCAATCCACTGTCACTTTTGAAAATCTATAAATGTTAAAATCAAAAAATAAACTATGACCGTGTTCACAGGGGTCCAAGGATGAGGGAAGAGACGAGGATCTGACTCCATGTTTCAGAAGGCTGATTTATTATTTTATGATATATATTATATTAAACTATAGTAAAAGAATAGAAGAAAGGATTTCATCAGAAGGCCAGCTAAGAATAGAAAAAGAAAGAATGATAACAAAGGCTTGTGGCTTGGACAGAGAGTCCAAGCCAGCTGACTGATTGGCCATTAATTAGAAACAACCACATGAGACCAATCACAGATGCACCTGTTGCATTCCACAGCAGCAGATAACCATTGTTTGCATTTTGTTCCTGAGGCTTCTCAGGAGGAAAAAATCCTAAGGAAAGGATTTTTCATAAAAGATGTCTGTGACAATATACTTCCCTTCTTTTTACCTTAAAAGTTCCAGTGTAGATGTAGTTTTATTTCATGTTCTGTAGTGACAGAAGTGTGCATGGGAGAGACAAAAGCACCCTGCTGTAACCCACTGGGCAGTTTTCACCTGTCTCCCATTCCACTTCTGCTCCTCTTGATGGTTTATACTGGAGGAGGATGAGGAAACAGCGTGACTTTGCCCAATAATTTGTCTCCCAGCCCTGCTGTACCCCAGCTCCAGCACAGCCCAGCTGCCTCCTCCGTGCCTTCCACATCACTGGATCCAGCCCTGCACTGGGAATCCCCTGGGATTCCTGACTGAGAGGGTTGGCAGCCAGGATGGGAAATGTTTATGGCATTTTTCCCCAGGGATCCTCGTGCAGGAGTTGTTGATGGCGTATCCCACTGGAGGAAAAGTCTGTTAATGAGGCTTGAGGGGTTCTGATGTGCAAAAATTTCTAATTAGAGACTCAGTATTCCAGTGTCCTTAGCCTGAATATCCTGTACAGCCAAAACTTGTGGAGTGGGATGTAATTGGCTCCTTTGCTCTCAGGGCTGCCCAAAAGGATGAGGAAGCTGAGACTCAGAAAGGAGCACCTGGGGCTGCCCTGAAAACCCTCTCAAACTAGGACTGAAAATCAGATTCCTTAACTGAGAGGGAAGCAACAGACTTGAAGTGGGATTTGATAACATTTGCCTTAAAAGTGCTTCAAGAAAACCCCTCAGGGAGTCAATCTGAGTGACCCTGCTGTGAGGTACATAAACAAGAGGAGTTTCTCTTTTCCAGATAAGGAATCAGAGGTTAAGTGGCCAGAGGGAGGAGGGCACACTGCCATCAGCCAGTCCAGACTCCAGCCTCACTTCTCCCTCAAGGACTGAGCCTGCACAGAGATGTTTTTAACCAAATTCAATCTGCCAGCCCCACCCATCACTCTCCATTTCATTTCCAGCACTCCTCACTCTGCATTGTCTGTGCCCCTTCTCTCTCTTTTGGGGATTTATTGTTGCAAGTTTTGACTCTTTGTTGCCACTGACCCTGGATGCAAGGAGATGAAATATCCAGCATTTCTGTGGTACAACCAGTGGACAAATTCATGCCTTTCTGTGCTGCTTTCACATCTCTGTGCTGTCCCTTCACTGACAGCAAGCACACTGGAGGATGGATGCAGGGTGAGACGGGGTGGGAACACACTATAAAGCTCTGTGTCAAATGGAAATATCCTCAGCTCAGCAGGATGAAAGTTTTCTGGGCTCTTACCCACCACACCACAATTCAGGACTGGTTTGCCAAGGTTCTCTTGAACAATTCCAGAGAATGAGCCCCATTTTTGGGCATGTTTTGGGATGGATCCCCCAGATCTGATTTGAAATCAGGCAGACTGCCGTGGTTTTGGATGGGGGTCACACAAGCTGACAGAAGCAGAGCATTCAGAGAACTGACAGAAGGCTGGAATATGGTCCAGGTTTGTTCCCTTCTGTTCCAGTAAGGAGAGGCAGCAAAGTCTATCACATCAACTGGATCCCTGTCTCCACCTGGAGAGTTTACAACTCAACAGGAAGAATTCAGGTGAGCTCAGAGGGTGAAGACCTGTGGGAAAGACATTCTGTGCTGTCCCTGTGAGCTAGCAAGGGCCTCCTGAAGATAAGGAGAAGCCCTATATGTCTCCTGAAGGAACACCAAGGTCATTAGCCTGGAGAACAGAGGAAGGAGAGAAAGTTGGGAGATTTGGATTCTCACTGGCTCACAGAGTGACGTGGCTCTCTGGTTGTCTACTGAGAACTTTGTTTCTCTTTTATGGCCAATGGGCACTGTATATGTGTTAGATGGGTGTCAATATCTGGAAGAACTATAAAAGCTATGTTGGTTTAATAAATCTCTCTTTTTCACCCTTCTGATGGAGTTGTGTATTATTGTACTGTGTCGCGCTCTGTAGTGACACACCACAATTCAAGACTGGTTTGCCAAGGTTCTCTTGAACAATTCCAGAGAATGAGCCCCATTTTTGGGCATGTTTTGGGATGGATCCCTCAGATCTGATTTGAAATCAGGCAGACTGCCATGGTTTTGGATGGGGGTCACACAAGCTGACAGAAGCAGAGCATTCAGAGCACTGACAGAAGGCTGGAATATGGTCCAGGTTCGTTCCCTTCTGTTCCAGCAAGGAGAAGTAGCAAAGTCTATCACATCAACTGGATCCCTGTCTCCACCTGGAGAGTTTACAACTCAACAGGAACCATTCAGGTGAGCTCAGAGGGTGAAGACCAACAAGAGCACCAGAAAAATCCTCCAAGGCTGCCAAGGACACCGTGAGCCTTGGAGTGACAGCATCCTGCAGAGCCACTCTCAGCTGGAAACCTGGGCTGGACAGATCCCAGCCCTTCCCAGCCCCTGTCTGTGCTCAGAGGGGCTTGGCAAAGGAGACTTCCCTGCCTCTCACGGCCAGGAGCTCAGCCAAGCTGACACCTCCCTCTGCAGGGCTTTGGCAGGAGATCACTCAGGGAAAGGCTGCAGAGAGGCAGCTTCAAGATCAATGGCATCATTAAAAGGCTTAAAGAAAAACAAGAGTGAATTGATATCCCAATGAACTGATATCCCAATAATTGATAACCCAATGAACTGATATCCCAATAACTGATATCCCAGTATTGAGGACACCTGGACCCAATATTCCTTGTGAGACAGTGGATAAACCAGTACAGCAAAATGATGGGAGAGTGGAATGAGGCCCCTGCCTGACCTGTTAAACCATAAGGTACCAATGAAAACTACTTTGGAGTGGACCCCTTGGAGTGGACCCCCATGGATTCCTCTCTAAGGGCGATAGAGATAATGACAAGTCCAAAAGAAGAGAGGTTCAGGTCATCACTGGAAATCAGGAGGTGCTGAGACAAGGGCTGATGGCCGGAGTCAAATTCCCTCGAATGGAATGGGAACCACCAGGAAAATGTGACCCAGAGAAGAGCTGCTGGAGTGCTGAATTCAAAACACCAACCAATTGGTGGAGAAGCTCTGTCCAGCCTTTGCCACCCTTCTTTCTCTGAGTCTTCCAAAAAAACCCTTCCAAAAAAACCCTGGAAGTCACTCCCCAGCAAATCCCAGAGACTTTTTTGGAGTTTCTTGGCTCAGACAGGGACTGAGACATCATTTTGCCTCTCTACCTTGATGCCTTAAGTTTTAGCTTTCATATTTTCCAGATTCTGCATTGGTGTGTAACTCTTAAATTCATATAACTTCAATTCTTAACTTCAAGTTCTCCTCACAGCTCAGTCAGACAGAACAATCCTTTTCCAGCCTAAAAACCAAGGACACTATTGCAGCTTCAGGCCCAAAAAGTGCAAACAACAGCAAATTGAGGAGAGCAGTCTGTGAGGATGGGGCTGCATAACCTGGAGCTGGAATTGGACAATTAACCCCAAAATGGAAATGGAACAAAACTTGCAAAATTGTGAAAACTCATGACTCAGAGTTCATCTTTGGTGTAGCCACAGCCAGGCTCTTGCACAGCCCAAGATGTATCCTTTGAAGACCTTTTAATAAATCCCTATTTTATTCCTTTAACAGGAAATCCCTATGCAGGAAAGTAGATAAATAATCTGGATTAAGTTGAGTGATTATTCAGACTGTTGAAAATAAACCATGTACGGTGTGCTGCTAAGTGCAAAACATAAGAAAAAGGAAATGTACTCACTTTTTTCCTCACAATGGCAATAGATGATGCAGTGAGGTAAGCAAGCACATTTTGGTCCTAAGAAAACTGTTACATTGAACACCCTGAACCTGTTAGTTTTGAAATATTTCCATTATAGAGTTTGCACTAGAATCAAGGGTTAAGATTATCATCTTAGAGGGTTGGATCATCACCCAAACATCACTGTTTTCTTAGGTTTTAATAATGCCACTGCTCACTTCATTTTGCAGGATATGGCTTTGCTACCGAGTAAGTTGGGTTTTTTCATGAAAGATGATTTCAGGTATATGTATTACCTTCATGTAACCACTTAAATCCCTACTTAATGAAGAAAACTACTGTTTTCCTGAGTAGCCTCTGCTCTAGGCAGCCTCTGCAGGCCTCAGCTGTGTTTCTGTGAGGGCAGGAGGTGGGACAGGCAGGGCTGGGGTGGCGGCAGAGCCCAGAGGTACTCACGTGTTGTGGAGGACGCACCATCCGCAGTGCGGGTCTCCCGAGCCCAGGCACTCGCTGCAGGTCTCGTGCTGGCTGCAGGACTCCACGGGCACCCTGGTGAGCTGCAGGAGGAAAGGAACAACCCGTCAGGCTCCTTACACAGCTCAGAATGGCTGGATGGAGGTGCCACCCTCCCTGTTCCCTTCCCCTGGTGCCGGTCTATAGTGGATATTTTTCGCCCCCGATGAAGACGGAATGATGAGGAGGACTCCGTCTTATCAGAAGGTTAATTAATTACTTTATTATATTATATTAGTCTATATTATATTTCATTATATTTCATTACATCTAAGCTGAATCTGCCAAGCACTCAACTCTGCACACACTGCACAGAATCTCGTGACTGTCACCAACAGTCCCAACTCACACACACACCTGGCCCTGACAGGCCAAGGAAACAAAACACCATCACTGTGGGTAAACCATCTCCATATTGCATTCTACTTTGGCACAAACACAGGCACAGCAAATGAAATAAGAATGTTCTTAGGAAGAATTGTGCTTTGCATTTCTCTGTGAAGAGAAATGTGGGGCTACACACTGTGAGGGTGATTGCAGGGGTCTGAGGATGAGGGAAGAGATGAGGATCTGACTCCATGTTTCAGAATGCTGATTTATTATTTTATGATATATATTATATCAAAACTATACTAAAATAATAGAAGAAAGGATTTCATTAGAAGGCTAGCTAAGAATAGAAAAAGAAAGAATGAATAACAAAGGCTTGTGTCTCGGACAGATAGTCTGAGCCAGCTGACTGTGATTGGCCATTAATTAGAAACAACCACATGAGCCAATCAAAGATGCACCTGTTGCATTCCACAGCAGCAGATAACCATTGTTTACATTTTGTTCCTGAGGTGCCTCAGCTTCTCAGGAGGAAAAATCCTAAGGAAAGGATTTTTCATAAAACATGTCTGTGACAACACACTTGGCCCTGATAGCCCAAGGAAACCAAACGCCACCACTTTGGGTAAACCATCTCCATATTGCATTCCACTTTTGCACAAACACAGGCACAGCAAATGAGATAAGAATTGTTTTTCCTTCCTCTGAGGTTCAGAGAATGTGAAACCCAGAAACATTCTTGGGAAGTTGTGCTTTGCTTTTCTCTGTGAAGAGAAATGTGTCTACACCTGTCCTCCTGCAGGAACACACATGCAGCGCTGGCAGGCAGAGGGATGGGGATGGGCATGGGGATGGGGATGGGGATGGGGATGGGGATGGTTTGCTCCAGAGCTCAGCCTGGAGCAATCCCTGTCCACATCCTGGTCCACATCCCCTATGGCCTTTCCCTCTCCCTGTACCCCTTCATGCCTTGCAGGATTTCCCAGCAATCAGCAAATCAGGCAGGCTGTGGGGATGAGGTACCTTGAAATAAGGTTAATACGTTTCAATTGGACAACAGGAGATCTTCTGCAGTAAGTTAAACTCCCTGAATCTCATTGATCTCTCTGGTTTTGGACTGTGTTTCCTTCTGGCTTCCTGTGAGAACTGAGGTCTTGTGATGTCTTTGTCTCCCTCCCATGACCTCCTGCCACCCCCAATCCCCACTGCCACCATCACTGCTGGTCCCAGGGAAGGATTAACTCCACTCCCTTTTGTCCATGCATCTTTCCAACCATCTCTTGTCCCATCCCTGGAGAGGTTGCTCCCAGCAGGGAAGGGACAAAGGCTACCAGGCTGGGTATTTTCTTCCTCTAGCCCTGCTTTTGCAGCTCAGAAGGCGTCAGAGTAGGACCTGAAACACCCAGGTACTGCCAAAATATCGCATTTTATCATCTATTTTTTCTTTTATTTTTCCTTCTTAATTAAAGTGTTTCAGCGAGAGGTTTCAAAGGTTGAAGGGACTGCCCAGCCTGACCTCCTGTCTCACAGATTTTGATTCCCTTTACATTTTGTAAGCCCCTCACAGCTTTTGAAGCCAAACACACAATTTGGGCCCAATGACCTGCTAGTCCCTTTTCCATTGAATAAGCTTCAGAGAGCCTCTGTAATATCCAGTCAATTGCTGGTGTCTTCACCCCAGTTCCTGTCAGCAGGGAGAGTTGATTCCCTCAGATGATGGAGTGAGGCATTATCCTGATGAAACGCCACTGAGAGCTGCCAGCTCTAAACTGCAGAACAGTTACTCCTGACAAATGACGAGGGAATGCACCTGGATCCCAGGGACAATTTTTTTACTTGGCACTGCGTTCAGGAGAGTTTGAGCTGTGGAGTGACAGACTAAGATCCATCTCCACTGTGTCTGTAAAGGAACCAAGAACTGGCTTTTCAATTTTTTTATTTATCCATTTTAATATAAATATATATCAGGCAAAATTCCAGCTGCGTACGAAGACCATTTACTGGTTCTATCAGAAATTGTTTTTCTCACCCCAAATCCCAGTTGATAGTCTATAAGCAAAAGCTGAAAATGTACAGCTTTGCCTCTGGCAAGTGGCAGAAGCTTTAGAAAACTCCAGGTAGTAACACGATGGGGTTTATTTATTTACCATTGCACCAGTGCCTGTGCCAAGTCACCCAGAGGAGCCAACTGCGGCTACTGAAAGCCTTTAATGAAAAAGTGAGAATGGGGGGGAAAAACTCAAACAAAAACCAACACAAACTCACTTTTCTCAAGTGAATCTATGGCCATGAGCATAAAATCATAATCAGAACAAACCACAGAGCAGTAAAAGTTATAAGAATAAGACAGGGAGGGAGTAATTCAGATTTCTCTAATTATGGTGGCTGTGGCAGTGGTGAATTAATGGTTGGATTTGATGTTTTTAAAGGTATTTTCCAAGATTTTATGATTCTTCCAAGAAGTTTAAAAATTAAGATTGTTTGGCCATGAATGAAGTTGTTTCACCTTCCTCAAGCTTCTGATCAAGAAGGTATCACCTATTAATGAAGAATAAATTTTATGCCTCAGGTTTTCACCCAATTGAACTTGTTGAACCCAATTGCCTGTGTTGGATCCAAATTCCAAAAAGACAAAAAGTTTTTACAAGAAGATACCAAAAGGTATCATATAATATATAATATATAATATATAATATATAATATATAATATATAATATATTATATATTATATATTATATATTATATATTATATATTATATCACATTATAATTTGTAATTTACAATTTATTATTTATAAATTTATAATCTATAAGGCTCACATTATAATTCATTATGTCAGTCATTTCCACCTCGTATTTCCACCTGAGATAAATATATTGTGAGTTACCTCAATCACATCAAGCTTGGCCATGTCTGCACTGCGGCCACCAGAGGATTTGAAGAAGAAGCAGATAATTTAATTTTGAAAGACTCTAAACCTGCCATTCCTCAATCCAGATGCAATTCCCACCTGGTAATTAGAATTTTGTGAGCACAGTTGGGTTTGGCTCTGCAGTTCCCACCCAAACCACCCTCAGTTTGACATATGGTGCTGCTTGATTTATCCTCATTAGCTCTAGATAGTTCCATCCAACCTCGTTTCTGAGCCAGTTTTACACCTGTCTGGTAAAAGTGAGCCTTGGTTGAGAAGTTTAGATCAGAAAATGAACTTTTCCAACACCTGGTGATCCTGGCTTGAATATTCAGAGTTAAAATCCACCTGTGGCTCAGATATAGGTAGAAGAAAGAAGTCCTAGAGGATTGAAATTTGCCATTTCTTGGCAAATTGCTGTAAAAAAAGTAGATAAAAGTTGGTCTCTGTATGTTTTACTCTAATTAGTTAATTAGTCATCAAAGGACAGCCAAGTTCATTGGCAGGAGAAACCTACTGGGAACCCAGACTTCATCTTTGCAGAAATGTTTTCTTTTCAGTGTGTTTGGGGATATTTTGTGGGATTTGAGTTGTTTTTAGGAGCACACTGGGCCTGTGCTGCTGCCCCAGAGCCCACAGGGATGTGTCAGGAGCTGCCCACACCCCAAATCCTCTCAATCCCACCAGGGTGTGTCTCTGTGTGCATTATTCCTGCCCTAAAAGTCCTTTTAGGAGCTCACCTCTAGCAGCTTTATTGTGAGATTAATTAAAACTGTACCACGCTGATAAATGTCTTGGGCTGCAAGTGTCAGACCTTCCAATTAATGCAGAAGGAAAACACAAAAAAACAAAGGAGCTGCAGCAGAAAGAAAAGCCACCTAAGGGTCGTCTGCTGAAAAGAGGAAGAACATCAAGCAAATAAGGCACATCAGAGGTCTTATTTTCTTTTTTGGAGCATAAACTGTAATTAATTCAGCTCAGCTTTCCACGTTGAAGGGTTTGAGAGCTGACTGTGTCCCTCCAGGGAACAGCCACTGAAATGTCAGCACAAGGGAAGCCCATGCAGCCTCCCAGTTACAGAGCCTTGCCATTATTCACTTGATGAATAATGATGAAGGGACCAAGGCAGTGCTGGAGGTGGAAATCTCCATGGCAAACCAGGCTGTGCTCACTGCCTCCACCCCTTCTCCATCCTTGGAGAGCCTGACAAATTCTTCAAGGTTATTTCCTGACCTTGGTGAGGGTCCCTAGCCCTGGTTCTTCGTGGGAGTGAAACCTGGAATCAACATTTTGCAGAAAATACCACAGAATCCTGGAATATCCTGGGTTGGAAAGGACCCACAAGGATCATTGAAGTTCAATCTTTGATTGAAGGGCAACTCCAAGAATCCACCACATGCCTGAGAATGAGAGAGGGTCCCTACTCCTGGTTCTTCGTGGGACTGAAACCTGGATTCAACATTTTGCAGCAAATATCACAGAACTCTGGAATATCCTGGGTTGGAAGGGACCCACAATGGTCATTGAAGTTCAATCCTTGATGGAAGAACAACTCCAAAAATTCACGATGTGCCTGAGATATATCCCAGATATAACCAGGGATTCAGCAGGATTAGAAAAGGAAAGTGTCTTTCTTTCATTTTTGGGCATTAGGAGCCTGTTTGGAGTAATTTATATTCCTGCAGTGGTCACAGCCTCACTGATATTTTAGTCTCACTGTGCCAGAGCAATATATGGATATAAGAACAGACTGCTGTTGTCCTCAGGGCTTAAATCCCATATATTAGGAAAATACTTGATATC